TTAAAGACCAAGGTAGAAAAATCAGAACATATTAAAAGTTCAGAAAAATAGAAAATTGGTTATTAATATGGCAAAAAGTAAAAAATTGAAAGAGACTTTTTGAAAAAACATTTGAGTAGTGATTGTTGTCGTTCTTGCTGTGATCGAATATTAGAACGAACGAAAGATTTATATTCTCCACAGTGACGAATAAGATATTTGAAGATTATCATATTCTTGTTTCTTGGATGAATGTCAAATAAGACAAGATTAAAGTGAAGATGTTAGATATGCAGCAGTAACGAATTATTGATGATGTAATTTAGACTTTTTCTGAGAACAAAATATGTCTTTTTCATAATGAAATCTTTTAAATTGTTTTTCTTTGAATCGGTGATCAAAATCATTCATGTTTACCGAATCTATATGCATCGTAGATTGAATCTATAAATTACAAAAACGATAAGTATCAATAAACTTTCAAAGACTCACAATCATTATTCCTATAAATAGTAAAAAAGAAATTTTATTTTATTTCTTTACTCGAAAATAGTACTTGACAAGGACTAAGTAAATGAACAGCAAATACTGGCTCAGCTAGTTCGTGAAATAAGCAAAGTGATTATTGCACAGTTAACCACTTGCTAATCAATGCAAATTATATTAACAAAAGGTTTTCGATTTTTTACATTTTACATAGTCACTAGAAAAAAGTTTAATTTTTCAAATGAAACTTTTTTAACAAAAAATTTCAGTTCATATTCTTCAATATTTGAATTTACCAGTGTCATCTCAAGTTTGATAACTATAATTCAACCGTGTAGCACTTCTGTTCACAATAAGATATGTTCACTATCAGTGGTTAATCCATTTAATAAATCTTGTGCATTAGCACTGAATGAACTTAATCAGCGAATTATATTCGTTAGAGTATGATTAACTAACTACACATTCAAATTCATCAAGAATATCACAAAATATGTATATTATTGAACAGTATTGTGATTATTTTAACAATAACAATAATATTTGACTGATAGGAAATATACAATAAACCACTTAGAACGATAATTCATTATTTAATCATTCGTTTTGATAATCGATTACATGTAGCAAAAACATGTTATCAATTCAAAATGGAACATATTTGATCCCGTCTAAAATAAAATACATATTTCACACTGCGTGCGAAAGTTCGAGATATCCTCTTCTTTTAAGCTCGAACTAATAGAATGTGTACCCATATCTTATGACTGTCCATCAAACGCTTGTTCAAGAAGTGTAAAAGTTTTGATCGAACCGTTGTGCAACTGTATATCTTCACATTTTGGGACAATAGTTTAGATGCCGATTTCCAGGCACTTCCATTCGAAAAGCTTCGAAAACTGTCGGATTATGAAAGTAAATATGCATTCTCTAATAGACAATGTGTATTTCTCCTAGACGATCATGGCAACAAGCGAAAACAGTCGATTATCGAATTCTGCCATCCTATAACTGATATCTTGTCTATCACGAAGTTTCTAAATGATGATACAGTCTTTACTGGATCTCCTTTTTCTACACGCGTAACCGAGCAACGATGTATCTTATGGTCTTATTTACAGTGACAAATTTAGAGGGTGGCGCTGGGAGCGATCGCACCCATTTCGAAAAACAATTTTTGATTTTCCTCAGCCGAAAAGGCTAAAAACCGAGCTGATACTACTTCGAATGAATTGTAAAATACGTTCTATGATCATGATCGTCTCATATCCCTATTGAAGGACCCCATACCATGAAAGTTCTAGATCTGCCACTACTTATTTACGAATGGTATGGCTCAATTCACAGTATAAGTGACATGTGTGTAAAACCAAAAGTATGAAATAATCGTAAATATTGGATTTTAGTTTCGAAATTATTAGAGGTTTCTTTTGATCTGATGATGTTCAACCTCTTTCCTTTATTTCAAAAATCAAGACTCGAAGTATACACACGCAAGACACACAAGAAAACATCTCTCTCTTAATAATAATGCACTTAAAGAAAAACAAACACATATATATGTATAATAACTATATAGAAGGGTTCTCCTCTAACAGAAATGAAATTCATTGTTTGATCTACTCCTATTTTTCACTAATCTCATTTGCTTTGCTTATCAATAATGACTTGTTTTTATCGTCTCAATGTTTATATTAATATTTCTGTTTTGACAGCGAAAACGTTTGCTATTTGAGACAATAGCAAAACACTTTTTGTCTTTTTGCAGCTGTCTTTTTATTATGAACTATAATGTCTTCATAGTTACATTAAATTATCATCAATTAAATAGAGCTCTTGCTTATTTGAAATATTTTAACTTGTGATGCGTTGTTCTTAAAAATCTCTCGGATACCATTCACATATGAAATCAAGAGAAAAATCATTGCTTTTTTTCAAACTAAAATGAAAAACTCATCCGATATATGTGTTTTGAAAACAAAAATACATATGGCGACAATTTTTAAAAGTCCGATTGTCAGTAGATAGACGCAATATTATTAAAAGAAAATCTTCTTATTTGAAATCAACGGATGCAACAAGAAAACAGTGAAAAGTAACCTGCAATGCAACAGTAATTGTCGAAATTTCAAATTATGGCTTTTTCGGTCAAATGTATCATAGGAATTTCAGTTTTTCATGTTAGAAGAGTGAAATCTGAGCTTCCACAGATACAGGAGAAAAATCTTTTGGGATTAACTTTAAATGAGACAAAATTTTGATAGCAAACATCACCAAAAAGGTTGCTGCAACTTCTATGATCTTCAAACATTTCTCTCAAATCAAGTGTATGTGTTTCCCTATAACAAATCACATTTGAAATTATATACTTATAGAAGCTAGAAATATTCTTAGGTTAATTGTTGGGTTTTCTTCAGCAGATAATACAAATCGAGTAGGACTTCTACCAAGAGTAAATATGTATTTTGTCTTATTAATTTTCTTTATTTTAATAATCAATATATGCAAAAATAGATATTAGAGGAACATATGCATTTGAATTTTCCGACGTCTAATATTCGATTATCAATATATTCAAGAGTTACAGAATGTCGTTCTCTTATACTGAAACACCTCTTTCTCATCAATAATAATAGCAAATTCTTCGTAACTTTTATTATAGATACAAACCACTAAAATGTATTGTCAATCAAAATCCTATTGATTTTCCTTTTGCTAGAACTGAGCTATTGAGAAAATATCGGACGTTATGCCTTTTCATTCGTTTTCCGAACATCCCAGTTTGGATCCGGATGAAAGGAAAAAAAGTCGAAGGTAACCAGATATTCGTCATCAGCATCACATTGTGCATCAAATAGTGTAGTTTTTACTAGAATCCAATGAGAATATCGAAATAAAAACATTTTTCAAAGAAAAATGTCGAAATGATGAATTAACGAGTTTTGATAAATGATAAATATCATGTTTTATTAGTTCACATTCCAAAAAACGGGAAACATGACAATCAAATAGGTCAATTACTGGTATAAACGGAAGAAAGTCTCAATCTCACATAAAAATATTCATATGCTGTGTAGAAAGTTATAAAACCACTATAAATACAAATATAAATGTTTCTAACTATAGTTGAGCATAGAAATAGTTGACTACTACGAGATTGCTTTTTATTACGTTACTATATTTGGTGGAGAAAAAAGTGTACGAGTTAAACTAGCCCAAAATAAAAAAAATAAAGACAATTTTACTATCGATATCTTTAAAGTTATGTTATATGTTTCGTCAAGTTTCTTTCTGCACGTACATCGAATCATTTCTTACCATATGTTATATGAAATTAATATTATAATGTATCTTTAATCTCGTTGATATCATCAATATTTCTGTGGCGTTTCATATTTTGATCTTATAAGAATTGTGCTAATTATGTTTTTAATAGAATTGTTAAACTAATTGAAAAATAAAATTTATTGTTATTTCTTTAATTTAAACAAACACAATGAGTAGTTTTTTTTTTTATCAATAAACCAATATTTCTATCGTTTTTTCTTCGTCTCAAATAAAAATACGTCTTTTTTTTAATTTTATTTTGTACACTTTCTAAATATATTGTGATTATTGTAACATTCGTTTTTGAAATGTATAAAGATTATTCATATTTAATTAGTTTAGATACTTTGAATATCGAAAAGAATATTTTTATTTGGATAATTGCAATTCTGTCTATTCTCATTTTTATGTAGAATATTCTTTCACTATTAGCACGAGATCATTATTTGTTTTTTTTTCTCTATCCATATTTTTTAATTAATATTTTTATATTTATTGGAAAATATTAAGGTTAGAAAATAAACATGATCATTAATTTTTCCTTTGTGAATCATCGTATGGAATGAATAAAACTTATGAAATATTTTTTATTACTGTGTATTGTTGTTTAAACAGTGTTTTGATGTATGATTATCTTTTTGAGTAAATAATGATTTTAAAATATTAAATGTTTGCTAATACTTTATTTGATGAGTTAACGAAAATATACTATTTTATTAAACATGATGAAGAAACAGATAAGACGAGAAAGTCGCTTGCTTGACAAGGTAAAAGGAGTATTTATGACATTTTATCGTTATTCATATACTTTCTATATGAAAAACATATCGACTCGGTGAAGTCAACAGAAAACGACCGTAGAGTATTATCTGACAAAAAAATCTCATAAAAACAACGCAAAAAGCTTAACTGCACACGTAAAATAGAATCATTGAGAGTAGGTGTGCAAAAATGCGCACGACAAGTCAACAAAAATAAAAGCAAAAGAACCGTCGAGCCACATCTGTTATTTATGCATATTCATCTGCTCAATATGTGATTTTTGGTTACGGCTGAAAGATTTTTCTTTTTTTTTTTCTCATGTATTTCGTATAACAACAACAATAATAAAATCGTATATAAACAGGTGTTATAAATTAAGCTTTTAGTCATTGACTAAAACAGAAAAATATTCCTCGGTATTCTACACATTTAGTAACACATTAAATATGTGGGGCGGTGGTTTCAATCCTTATGGAGGTTCAGAAATGAGATCTGACATGTGGATTCAACAAAATGTTCCCGGCGGATTAAATAGTAAGGATTTTAAATTGTTATCGCTAATATTATTAAAACATGATTTATTTTCAATTTTTTTCGCTGTCTTAATCGTAGAAAAGAATTAAAATAGTGGTTCGAACAAATGAAAGCATACATACGAAGAATATAGGAAAGAAAATGATTACCAGCTCCCAAAATTTTGTGCAGACTTCACAAAATGTTAGAGCAAAGAATTCTTTTAAAAAAATACAATGTCTTCGAGTTTTCTACGATCCTTTTTGTTGACATCCAAATCTTACAAAAGTCTATGAAAGTGTGTTTTTACGATTTTCTATGAAAAATTCAATTTGAGACTTCATCTATTCTTAAAGTATATGTTTTTCTCTGTTCGAATCACTATTTAGATTTTTCTTTTGCGATTTCTATAGGCAAAATGATTTAAAATATACCATGTTGAATAATTTCCGTAACCATTGCATATATAAACACTTTGAATAAAATGACTATTCCCTAAAATATTTCTTTGCATATAGGTGGCATGGGTGAATATCTTGACAATAGAATGGGTGGAAATCCAAATCCAACATGGGGTCAAGCTTATGGAGGTTACCCTGGAGTTGGAGGTTATGGTGCTGGATATGGTTATTCATACGGAGGATATTAATAGAATTGCCTAAATCGAACAATTTTTTTTTTAAACATAAAACATATTAACTAACCAATTATTCATTGATTTTCTTCAATCATAATAAACGTATTCTTCATCAAAATTAATGTTTGTTCAAATTAAACTTGTGATTTGAAAAAAATACTATTTTAATAATAAAAATAGATTTTAAATAAGAATAAGTTGTTTGAAAGATGACTCTTGCAATAGAGAAAATCTTATTAAATTTTTCATAACGATGCATACTAGAGCATGACATGAAAATCGACAATCAGATATCTCTCGATTAATTCAACATACTTTTTATTGTAATATACTGTAAAATCATCAGTTTATACTGAACATTATTCTTGCAATTAATTGATAACAAGTAAATAAATCTCAAGAAGGAAATATATACTAAATCAACGAAGAAAAGGAAATTTTGATCCGTCTCAGATTCGAAAGAAGTCGACATCGATATCATGCTACTATTATTTAGTCTATCGTGACAAATACTTTGAACAGTTATCTCAAGGGATGATAGTCAAACTTTAACAAGCGAATCAGTGATCAAAAGTCGTGCATATGTACTACAAACATATTCCAACTGAAAATGTTTTCTCGTTCTAAAGCAAAATATATTTGAATTCTAACTTTATAACTTGAATTTATTTTAGTGCACACGCAGTTAATTCTATCTACGTAAAATATTCAACACTTCATGTAACTTTTGATTTTTTTTCTTGTCTAATAAATTCTGCAGTTCTAAATGAAATGTTAAACTTTTCTTTTAATCTTCCACAGGTCATACTTAATATTAAAAGATGTTTTTTGGAATATGATGATCGTAAAATAGCAGATGATTTTATAGAAGATATTAATAAATGAAAAATTATTTATACTATGCCGATGAATTAGGATGAACAGTTATTAATTAGATTGTTTAAACAGTATATTACTTCACAGTTTGAGTAAAGTCATCAATAAGTTAAAAAAATCCTTGTAAACAATATTATTTATCATTTATAAAAAATTTTATAGAAGCTCATATTTTGTCTTTTTTCTGTCTTGCACATAATTAATTTCTCGTCGCTTTCAAGTAGGCTATTCACAACAAATCTCTGTCTAGAAAAGTTGTTCACTTGTTAAATGAAAAAAAAAAATTTCGAATGTTTTTGATCAAGATTATATTTTTAATTATATCTTCAGTATTACATTTTTTGGCATCCACATGCTTTTTGAAATAGAAAGGCGTTGAGACACGATTAATAGAGCTGTAATGGCAACAATTTTCGGAATATAAATGTACGTGAAAACATTTAAACAATTTTCACTTATCATTAGTGCGCACGCCGTTTCTTATCAAATCGCATTTCAACTCATCTATTTTATGTTTGATATTTACATTGGTTGTCGTGTAATATAACACAAAAATTGTCGACAATATATTTTTATTTTGTTAGTAGACAGAAGCAAGAGAATGATTTATATAAACAAACAAAACTTTTAAGAATATACACGACTAAAATAAAAAATGTATTTAATCATAAAAAAAAGCAACTGATTAAGTACATTTTTTATGGTATTAATATAATTTCTGATTGATAGTGAACTGGAAGTTCTGACCATTGTTATCGATGAGCAATGAGTACTTCGATGAATCTTAGAATGAACATAATTATTTCTTGCTGTATGATATATTTACACGACATGTGTCTAAGAAAACCTAAATTCAGTTATCAATTTGTTTGATCTTTAGTGCATTATATTTAACATATAATACTTGACATGGTCAACAGTGTCCCATCAATATATTATCTTTATTTTAGAAAATGACATGAAAAACTAGATGGTTCTTTTTTTATCTATAAGAGTATTTTTAAATAGAAAAACACTGAGTATTTCTACTATTGTGAACATTCCCAGTTCAGAAATACAGATGACATAAGGAATAGTATTTGTTATCGAAAAAAAAAAATTATTTTTCACTCTTTTTGCATTAGTGTAACTTTCAATAGGATTCTTTCACTGCTACTAGATTTTTCTAGTCTATATTTCTGTTTGTTTTTGTTATTTTTTCTTCGTCATTGTATACCATTTATAAATTATGATGAATTTTGTATTTGGATGTGATTTATTTATTAAGTATTGTAAGCTGAGTTTCTTCGGTCACGGTAAATCTCTTTTCAGAATATATGAGTTTTGTTTATAATATTTTCCTGAAGACTTTTGATGATGATAAATTCAATAGATTTAATAAAATCCGACATTTTGCATTTGTTGATAATCTGTTTCGATGTAAACCGAATCGCTTTTACTGTTTTTCACGCTTGCTTAATTATCATACATAGATTGTAATAAAATCTTGATGTTATACTCGTGGTATTTTCATTGGTTGCTATCACCTTTTATATTCATGGAGTTTAATGTACAGTACACAATCGCAATTTGGCCACTTTCTAACTTTTCAAGACGTAGCAAACACATGTAAAATTATTAGTTCATTCTCGTGTTATGTTTAAAACTGCGGTATTTCATTCACAGTAATATAATATAAATATTGGCGCACAATACATTGGATGGCAAACAACATAAACTAGTGATAATACTATAGGTGCTCTTAGCAGTACATGTTTAATTAGAGTCACTTCCAACATTATTGGTATGATTGGACCAACATTTTCTAGAAAAGCTCATATTAGTGCTGAATTCGCTGAATCAGTTAATATTTCTGTAAAATCATATGATCCAACTAATCCTGATTTATCTGATCGAAATGCATATCTGGGCTTTTATCGCACAGTTCCATCGAATGCTGCTTCTACATCATCAATTGTATAATTATTCATTCAATTTAATAAGACATCTTGTATAATTATGTATCAAAATGATGAATTTGGATTCGGTGATGCTGAAGCAATAAGCCATGCATTTAGTAAAAATAAATTCATAGTTAGTCAAAGAGAAGTATTTTAGGTGACTTAACAGATCTTTTATCTAGCAGTTCAACAAGTATTGTACTACTATGAGTAGAAACTAAATACATACCGTTAGTTTTAAAATATATACTTGATTGTAATGTTTTTTGGACCATAATTCACATGAATATTACGATCAAGTATTTCTTTTAGAATTTTTTAATCAAACTTCATATCCAAATTTAATCAGAATACGTTCTATAGAACTCGTAGCAGGAAATGTTGTCAGTGCAACTATTAATACATTATTATTCAATGCAGCCTATAGTATTTGATAGAAATATGAACCTGAAACATTTTCCGAACTGATAAAAATCATTTATTATGCCCTATCTGCATTCGATGCAACCTGGGCATCAATTCAGTTATTAAGTGTAGGTCTATATATATATATTAAGTTTGGTATTAGTAGCAACATATACAACAAATTTAGCATCTGATTTACAAGTATCAAAATCAAAGGATTTTATTTCTAGAATTGATAATATCAAAAATGTAAAGAAATCTTTTAGTTCAAAAAACAGGGTTTTGAGCTAAGACATTCAATTAAAACTTTTCTAAACATACGTACAACTCTGAAATAGCTTTGCATTGTGTGGCAAGATTTTAAATGTAAAATTTTTTTTTTATTTTAATGAATTGTAAATCATTTTTCAATTCTAGAGATATTTCTTTCTTAATACTTAAACAAAAATATGTCAGTTTTAACACAATTTATGTTGTTAGGAACTCAAGATACAACTATAAAGTTGACCGTTTTGTTTCTTTCTACTCTTATTCAATAATTGAAAATTAATCTTGAACGAATAACTAGGTATACTAAAAGAATTCGGTTATCACTATGAGTTCATTTTGCAGTCATGAGCTATTCAAGCCTTTAGATGTACATGATAAATACGTAAAAGGATGATATATCATAAATATGATTTATCATATTATAAACTTCCAGAGTTTTTGAACATCATCTTGGAAATCATCCATAGTGAAAATCGTAATATAACTTTTGACCAAGTTGTTAGAGATGCTTCTAGTTTTTCAGATTCTGATAAAATGGAAAATGAATTTTCTACACAATATCATGTTAATTAGTATCATAAATGCCATTATAGTCTGTACTTTAACAAATAAATCATAGAAATATGAATGCAAACTTTATTCTTCTTCAGTAATGATACATTGGAACTAAACTAATACTAATATCATTTATTATTCATGTGCTGAATGCCTGATCCATACTTTAACCTTGATTAATTATGTTAAATTCAAAGAAATAAGGTAGAGAGGTGTCAGAAAAAAATGTTCTATGTAAATTAATGGTATAATAGTAGTAACTGATTCATTTTAGAATTTGTTGTTCTATAAGACTTTTTGACGTAAATACTTGTTTGTAAGATGTTGAGATATCTATACGAAGATTGATCGATTATTAAACATTTATCATTATCTTTGCAATTAGATTATTCGGTGAAGAAGGTTTCAACACTTTTTTCTATCATAGGAATGTGGTTTTTGAGATAAAATAAATTCATTAATGGGTTGTTACATATTCTTTTGAAGACAATAAGCTGATTCAATTTTTATATACAATGATTGAATATATATGTTGACTAATATATCGAGCAAAAAGAAACTTACTCGTAGATAATTACTGTAATTGCTTGCATGAGGAAAATATTCAAAATTTTATATAGCAACAAATAATTCAAAGCATTGAAATACTAAACATGGAAATTTTAGATAAAAATCGTCGATGAAAATAATTTTAGATCGACTTGCTTCATGATTCGATCAGATCCAAGCATTTATTTAAAAAAGAAGACAATAACACAGCAAAAGCAAGTAATTGTGATGATAGTTTCGATATGTTACGAAAAAAATTGACTAAATGTTATTAATTGCCTTACACGAGTGAGCCTCAATTTATTTTTCTCCAAGATGATGATTCAATTTTTTCTTTATAATAAGGTCTCTTGAACAAGCATAGAGACTTCCTACAAAATAAGCAACACTTTGTGCTGTTCACATTCTTTACTGTTACGTTGCTTTCATCATAGTTTGACATGATGAGTGTATGAATCGAGACGATCATTTTTCTTTTCATGTATATTGAAAGCATTGTTAGCAGTGACTGTGATAGAGATGCGAGACCAGTAAGCATTGTAAAATGCGTCGAGTTTGACAAATATAACGTTAAACAATGGAACACGCTTCTTACCGATGTGTCTCTCAGATGAAAATTTCGTAACAAGCATCCGTGTACTGATCAATCCCAGAAATATTGCTACTAATAATGCATGATACAGATTCAAGTCGTAGAATTGAGTTCTGCAATCGATCCATATATATATAACAGTGGCTCTGTGTTATATAAGACATGGCCAAGCTCAACGATCGCTTCTCTTTGTGTCAAGTATCTTAGTATGGAATTCAAATGGAACTCATTTCCCTTGCGACATATGAGAAATGATGTCTTCAAATAAGGAATATTGGATAAAAATTATGACAATAAACATCTGTGACATTAATGTTAAAATCTTCACTGTACTAAATACGTTTTGTAAAGAGCATTCAAATCTGTACTGGACTTTGAATACCTAAATTTAAAGGCTGTTCTTGCCATATATAGATAGAACAATAAGAATACTCAAAGAAGTTGGTTGTATTATTGGAGAACTATGCTTTGCTGTGTCTGAATGTAGTTACGACCTGTCAACACATTCGCGATAAAAATCTTTGCCTTCCATATATTCTTTTATTTTTATTATTATCCTGATAAACTAAGCATTTGATATTAAGAAAAAAAATTGATACAATATCTTTTGGATATTTATATCAATGATTTCACAAATCATTTCTGACATAATGAAATGTATTTGAAAAATTCTAATCGTGCGAAATCAATCCATTATTAGACTATATAAAATAAATTCTATGAAGCCACTTTAAATATTATCGAAAAGCTATTAACAATATTTAAATAAGATTTATTCAAATTAATGTAATTTGTTTATGAACTTGTTTCAACATAGAGCAATCGTCAAAAGATTGTTCATGAAAAATCGAAAATCTTGATGTACCATATAATATGACTAATTTTATTTTGCTTTACTGTTTTCTATTAGGTTTATCTTTCTCTACTTATGTAAACTTGAGTTCAAAAGAGAAATAATCTGTTTTTAATAATAAATCTCTTGATGTATTCTGGAAAAACTAAATATTCTTTCTATTTTAATTGTTATGATACGACACATCGAGGATTCCAAGCAAAATAAATAGAAAAAAAAAGTGATATGCAATTTGATTCGACTCGCCTTAAATAACATCTGAAACAACCAACTTTCCCATATTTCTAGATAATATTTTTTTAAAATCCTTCTGTTTATTATGATGATATAGTGATGTCTCTTTAGATTCTGTTTCTCAAAATATTTTTTCTTATGTATATTGCTGAGAACATTGTCACACGATAACTATTCAAACAATCAAATAGGCAATGCAACTTAACCATAAGACTTTAAATTTACTTCATCAAACAAACAAGAAAGAGTTAGGCTTATAGGTGTGGGTGTGTTTTTTTAAAAACTGAACCTAACCGAGCCTAGTTAAAAATTCTTAAAACTTAATATCATTTCGTAAAGATATTCGTCTTAAACTGTCTCAACTAGGAAAAATTTCCAACATAATGACATTACAAATAAATTAGACGTAGCAGCTGTATGTACTATGCTTTTGAGATTAACAAAAAAAAAACGATTTCCAATTTGACATTGAGCTTGTGTGATCTTTATCTGAATTATCATTTATTTTTGTACATATCTCGAAATATTGAAGTTTACAACGACTAAATAACTATATACTACATGAAAAGAAGAAAACCTTCTTCTATTTTCAAGAATGATGTTGACTTGTCTGAAACGCGCTCAGAAAAAAAATGTATTCATCAAACTATACAACGATGAGTTCATGGTTAAGAGAGCGTCACTAGTCATATTCGAAACTAAAGTTTGGAATCTTTTTAGTACGCTTATCAGCTTGTAGATCAAAAGCTACCCTACAAAATGCACTATTTGAAGTTTTTTTTTGTCCCTCGACAAGGTACTTCAATTTTTGTTTTTTCAAGATACTTATTTTTGAAAAATTAACAGTCGTTTTACGTTCACAGGACTTCTTCAAAAAACTGCTTGTACCCTCACTAGAGTAAAAGCTACAGCTTAGTTTGATATCACATGTTGTAGAGAAGTCTCCACTTTACAAAACGAGCAATTCCAACAATTTTCAGTATGTTCGACAGGAGCCTTATAAGGTGAACGAAAACCTATTGACTCACCAATAGACAAAACATTTCTGAGTTCATATTGAGATTCTGGTTGCAACTTATAGTTTTTGACTTATCTAAACTACTTTTAAACAGAGCAAAATGAATAAATATATTCCGCGGAAGCGTCAACTTATAATTACCATCCAAACTATTTTTTCTGCTTTTTAAAAATTATTTCACTACTTTCGAACAAAAATTGAGATTAATTTTCCAAGCCTGTATTCGATAAGAGCATAAACACATAGCTCTTGACATTTTCTAGCGGATCAAAAGTGAACAAATACCTTATGTAAAATGTTTCCGATCATTCGTTAGAATATCACGTCGATTTTTTTTGTTCTTTATTTTACTTTTCTTAATATTATCTCTTTCATTCTTCTGTTAATACAATTAAACATGTCCGATTGTTTTTACATGTCAATAGTTGCCATTAAATAATGTCAAACTTTTATGAACATTTAATTTATTTATTAAAACAGACACTTTTTTATCACGTTTGTATTAATTCACAACTTAGAAGTAATCAATTTATTTTCTTTCATACAATCTAAAAACTAGCCTCATCGAACAATGAAAATGAAAAATCAAGTTATTATTTATCTTGAATAACAGTTACGACCAATTTTCCCATTGTTAAATTATCTTCCATATATTTATGAGCTTCAGCTATCTGTTCCATTGGCCATATTTTATCAGTAATAACTTTAAGTTTACCATCAAGAAAACCGTTAATTGCGTCATCTTGAAAATTCTTAACTAAATTTGTTTTATAATCAATTGATCGAGCTCTTAAAACAGTACCCGAAAGTGTAATACGTTTTCTCATTAATGTACTCAATGATAGCTTATCCGCTTCAGGTCCACTTTGACAACTGTAAACAATCCAACGAGAATCAACACCAAGAACTTCTTGATTTGCTTCAACATAATCTTTTCCAATACTTTCATAAACTATATCAAAACCTAAAAACCAAAAGAATATGATAATTATCATTTCTATTCAATTTCAAAATACAATCAGACCATCTCTATTAAGTCCCCGAGTGAATTCTTGCAATGTTTTTACCCTAAATATTTTAAATAATAAAGTCAAAGAAAGAAAAATATAATTTATTACCATGGTCCATGTTTATAATTAATTGCTTTATCAGCACCAATTGTTTTACAATAAGCTACTTTTTCATTAGTACCAGCTGTTGTTGCTACTTTTGCACCGAAAAATTTCGCTAATTGAATAGCTGCTGTACCAACTCCGCTAAAATATGGCTCAAATATTACTTCATATATAATCCAATGCAGTTACCTTGCACCAGCATGTATAAGAACAATATCACCTTTTTTTATATTACCAATCAATTTTAAACCTTGATATGCTGTCAAAAATGTTTCTGGGATACCTATAAAAACATCATTTTCCTATTAAAACAAACAATTTTAAATATTAACCTGCAGCATCAATCATTGAAATTCCTTCCGGAATCTTCATAACACAACCCATATGTACTGCAACATATTCAGCATAGCCTCCGCCAGCTAATAATACCATTACCTAACGTAAACAAATAATCACATTAAATGAAATATCATATATCAATTCATACTTTATCACCATCATTCCATTTTTCTTTGGCTTCATTACCAACACGAACAATCTCTCCTGATGCTTCTAATCCAATAATATTCGTAATACCTGGTGGTGGTGGATATAGACCTTTACGTTGCATCGTATCAGCTCGATTAATACCAAATGCATGTACTTTCACTAGAACTTCGTCATTCTAAACAAAATTCTTCCTTGTATAAAATCAACTAACAACAATAATATATCATATACTTTTATTTGAGGTACATCTGTTTCACCAATATATAATTTGTCTAATAATTAAAGATTGTTAATCAACTTAAAATGAAATAAATATGATTCGATTCCTACCACGATCACCAAAATCTTTCAACAAAACGGCTCGCATTTTTTCTGGAACCGACATTTTTTTCTGTTTTCTACAAAACAAAACAAAAAGACATAGAAGTCTAACCAAAAATTTAATCTTGAGGACACTGTTTATATTTGTTTTTTATTGTTTGATAGGAAACAATACATGATAACAGAACGAAAAAAAAACACACGGAGTCTACATATAAGGTTGAAGGCGTTCTTTTGAAGTAACGAGCACGTATACTGATGATATTCCTAAACCATAAAGACTGCCACGTAAAGCACCTTTCCAACCCGCTGTTGATCGATAAAGAAGACCAGTAAGACCAGCACTAGCAACTGTATTTAATTCGTCATCGGCACCACGTGCCACACTAATACCGGTACCAATTAAACTGTATATTAATGCTAAAGAAAGCAAAACAGAACGATGCATAAAATATTAACTTAAAATATCCTACCAATAGAACCCATTGCTGAAGCTGTAGTAGCACCTTGACGAGCAACATAGTTAATAATTCTAAAAATATTCGTATTCATTCAATAGTAGCTCTTTTAATCAAACTTACGATGAAGTTCGTACAGCTCCAGTTAAATCTCGAGTTTCACGTAAACCACGATATAATCCTGATGCACTACCAATCAAACTTCCTACAAAAAACTCATTATTATATCTTATTTATTTATTGATTGATTTCACGAACCAGCTATAACAGAGCCACCAATTGTAAAGAACATTAATTCAAGTCTACCACGTTTTTCTTTTTGTCCTTCAGGCAAAATGAATTGAGATTCACCCTAAAATAAAAATAGTTTTTTTTATAACAATCATTATTTATGAATATCAAAGATACATACTGGGTTTAATAATTGTGGATCAAAATTTAAATAAGGTGATAGAGCATTTGAACCAGGCGTTGAATAAACTAATTAAATAGATCATATTTATTGAACATTTATTTATTTCTAAACACGATGGCATCGTATATATTTCTTATTTCCAGGAATTTCAAATTTTTGCACATTACAACTCAATAAATGGTATCAACTAAAGAATACTATAACAACAATGATTCTGATTACATATCTATGATATATACCTGAAATTGACTTTTACACATTCAATTAAAGAAATAGAACTCGTAGTCTGGCATTGGATTGGGTTAAGAAATTTCTTTTAATATAAAAAATATCTAGAAGTGCAGTGTATATTATTGGGGGTTAATGGCGTTAGAAACGATGTATATGGGCGAAGATAATAGCCATACCTACATCAATCTCTTCACCCGAAACCGTCATATCAATTTTATTCTTTTCTTTTATTTGCATAATGATAAGCTAGCTAACGTTTTATTTCAAATATATTTTATAAACCAAAGAGACATTAAAACAATTACTTTATGACACTAACAATTAATGCTAATATTCACATGAGAATCAATGTTCTATGATTATTTCTCAAAGCACTAATTTAAATTCTCATAAAATTTTTCTCATAATCCTTTCATTTGAATTTCCTGGAAATAGAAACTTATCACGTCATACTAAACACTTACCTGGAACATTAGAAACCGGTTCATGTATATTATAATTTCCAAATAAACTAAATCCTCGCTTATTTGAATCTTTCGTATTATTTAGATCCATTATTCTGAAAGAAAGAAAAACGAAATTTATAATTAAATATTTTTCTACATAGAATATTAAGGCACATATATGGTTCACTTTGTTTTTAAACAATTATTCAAATTCTAGAAACGAATAAACTATATAAGAGAATACAAGTTAAAAAAAAACAAGAAAGAAGAAAAGAATATTTCTGAGATGTTGGCTAGCATCGTTTCTAGCACCTTAATACATATAAAGACATAATAAGAATTAAGTATCAGATGAAAAATAGAAATATATATCACACACAAATGAACAGAGATTTTAATTTTCGTTTGGTAAAAAGAAGAAAAAAAATGCATGCTAATTGCTAAATTCAGGATTTTCGCCTGTATATTCATTTTCAAGACGATATTGTAATGCACTAAATGATGGTCGATTGTCGGGTTGAGCATGCCAACATTCACGCATAATTGTATAAAGTGATAAAGGACAATTTGGTGGTTGTGGTAAACGATAACCTTGATCGACTTGTCGTAATACTTCAGCATTGGTCATACCAGGATATGGTGTACGACCAAATGTTACTAGTTCTGTTAATAAAATACCATACGACCAAACCTAAAATATTATGAAGAAAACGAAAATGAAAAAAATTAAATATTAACAAAAAAAGTTTTATATTTACATCGCTTTTGGTTGTAAATCGATTGTAAAGTGCAGCTTCAGGTGCAGTCCATTTTATGGGAAATTTTGTGCCTTCCTTTGCTTCATACATACCTCCAGCATATTCCTAGAATATTTAAAGTTTTATTAAATAAAAAAATTACTCGAACATATCACAATATATATACAATTAGCTCAAAAGAAAAAAGGACATAAGCTTTAATAAATTTCTCATAGTTAAGAACACAACAATAACGGTGCATCGTCTACCGATCTTATTCACAGTTTTGCACTGGTCTAAACGTTTACGTATAGACTCACAGTGAATGCATGATAAAATCATAGTAGTCTTAGATTGATTTCGATTCTTTTTTCGGTCGAAAATGTTATTTCAGAGAAATTACTGAATTCTATTTAAAAAAAAATAGACTAAAGGTTTTTGCAGTGCAAGAATCCAAATTTCTAGAAGACTTGTTGGAATTCTCATTCGAGAAAATCGAAATAAATCTGAGATCACCTTAGTTTTATCATGCGTTCACCGACATTCTATACATGCATGTCCAGAACGGTGATAACTGTCATCGTTACATCTCTACACATATTCTATTGTCAAACATTTTAAAGCATTCCTGATATTGTCTACAAGAAGCGTATGATAATTGTCAGACAAGTACAAGAAAATAAATTGTCCTAATAAAGTAATGTGCAATAAAAAGTCGATAATGCAATGGAATTTTTTCATTTCAAAACAGTCCAATACACTAAACCAAACTTTGATATTAGAAGACAATTTTAAGCAGCATACATCATATTACAAGTCAAACAATATGATTATTTTTTAAGCATTTACTGCCAATAAAGAAACATTCCCACATGTCAATTCGCTTTCAAGTCGAAATATATTTAAGTTTTACAGCTTTTTTGTTTTTCGCAGAACATTGTGATCATTCTCAGGATTACTTGAAAAATCAATTTTCGATTTAAAAATTTGCACAGAGAAAGTTGTTAATGAGACTAGTTTATTCTAAACATTTCGAATTTCTTAATTGCTCCAATCCTAAAATATGAAAATTAAATATTAAGATTTAATTCGAAATTGAAAACTTATTTTTTTCAAGTGACCCTGAGGAGGACCACGGCATTATGCTACAAAATTAAATATTTCGGGAGAAATATCTTAGAGACACAAACTCTTTTCAAAATATTGAGGATTCCATTAAGACCTATAGGATGCGTATAATATCAAATTGAAAGCAAATTCACACATGGAAATATTCCCTCGTCAGTCGAATAACGATCCAACAAGAAGTCAATTACTCATTGTCATTAAATATTTACCTGTATCTCATCCTAATAAAGTAAAAATAAATCTTAGACATTTGACATACAATAATTAGCAATTGATCTTTATTGAAGTATGATACTCAGGACAGAGCCAAGTTTTCTCCATCAATGATTCAGTAATTAGAATTGTGTTTTTTTATTCTACAGAACAAAAGTACTTTTTTTGCCATACAAACCTTGATTATTCTTGCTAAACCAAAATCAGCTATTTTGACAGTATTATTTTCACCAACAAGAACATTTCGAGCAGCAAGATCTAAAACTTTTTTTTTTTTTTTAAACAAAAAAATTCTAATGATTTTACCTCGATGAATATAATTTTGTTGTTCTAAATAGGCCATTCCACGAGCAATTTGTGTTGCCATATAAATTAATGCTGACATTTTAAGTTGTCGACCACGAGGACCTAAATAATAAAATTAATAATTTAAAAAAATAAAAGATTTTATTTACCTTGTAAATAATCTAAAAGACTTCCATTTTTCATTAATTCTGTAACAATATAAATTGGTTCTTCAATTGTACAAACAGCATATAATTGAATAAGATTTGCATGTCGTAATTTTTTCATAATAGATGCTTCTGCCAAAAAATCAATTGGATTCATTGAACCTAATCATATGTTTTTGTTTAAAAATATGACAAAAAATAATTTTTCTATCAAAAAAAAACAAACATTCTAACCTGGTTTAAGTGTTTTAACTGCAACAGATACATTATCATTCCATACACCTTCCCAAACATCACCAAATTGTCCATGACCAAGACGTCGAATTAATTTTATATCATGTCGAGATATTTCCCATTTATCAACAAGACTATGTGATAAACCATCCGGTTCAGGTTTAACAATCTATAATTTAATAATTAATAGCCAATAAATTAGCTTTTAGCACAATCTCTATGAGATTAAAATGTGAAGCACGACGTAGCTACTACGGCTAATCACAGGAAGTGTTTTATTCTATCTATTTTGATATATATTTCTTCGTCATACTTTTATTTAATCCTCCGGAAATGCAATGAGAAAATAATTAATATATTCTAATGAGACATTATTAATAAATGGTCTTTGATTGTATATCAACAAAGACCATTATGATCTGTAACAGAGATGTTGACAGGCTCACGAACTAGGTATTTTCACGATTTACGGATTTCGTGAGACGGGTCGTTCTACAAATAGTTACATTTACTATTCATGGCATATGTTCTTATTAGATTGTAAAAAATGGGAATAAACGATGTGAAATCTGCTTATTTCTAGACTTCTTTTTACATTTATCATTATTTTTATCTTCGTCGAAGGTGTATCTGCTATATTAACTTTGTATATATGAACACAAATTATTACTATTATTTTACTATTTGTTGTATTGAAGTATTACGTGAAATTTTGTAATGTTTATGTATATGTACAAAAATGAAAGATAATATTCTAATTCTAAAAATCTTAGTTTCACAAATAATTTAAAAAACAAATATGTCAATAAAAAAAAAACTAACAAATTTGTCAATAAATATTTTACTAATAAAACTTCTATTAACTGGCGCGGAGCTCGTGACAGGTTAATGACTCTTGAATTTGTAAAATAGCCAGAGGGTCAAAGGAAAAAAAAAATCATTCAACCCCTAATGCATGCTGAGTTTGGCCTTGAATAGAACGGGTAAAAAAACAATCATTAATATTTCTGCACAGTGATGGTCTACAAAAATAGACCAACGAACATATACTTACATGTACACAGGGACGCCGTAAATTTACACACAAACCATCTGACATTTTGGAATAATGAGTCACAAGTTCAGGTAACGTATTAAATGTTGTTCGACGTGCTATATAAAATCGACCATCTTCACTTTGACGTATTCGATAATGTTTTACTGAATCACTATCTCGAACTATTAACGAGAAAAATTTTTATTATTATGAAACAAAGAATTTGTTTTAGTAAAAAAAAACTTACTTGATAATGAAAAATCTGTCTTTTTGGTTTCACTATCTCGAATCTAAATAAAAGGATATATTATAAGTTTTAACCGAATAATCTACGATCTTTTCATAAGACTTTCTATCAAAATAACGAACTCATCAAATATAATCAAAGATATTTGCAAAAAAAAAGTTTCATTATCGAGCATTTTCGACACATTAAAGTTTAGTAAATCAATCGCACGAATGATATTAGATTTTTTAAGAAAAAAAAGGCAACTCAAAGTAGTTTTATTCTTGATTGTCTGATTTTTTTAGGAATATTATTCCTTATTTTTTGAACATTTTCATATATTGCTGAGGAAAAATTTTTAGCAGTACCTTCTGATTTTTTTGGTCCATAAATATTGCATTGTGTTTTAGCAAAACTGTAAAAGAATTTGGTTCGACTAAACTATTGAATTCTTTTTTCAAGCCCAAACTTTTCGGAAAAATCGTATTTCTGAATTTTGATCTCTAACTTTGTGTATATAGAGAACTTTCATAGACTAGCGCCCATAAAAAAATTCAGAAATTTCAAACAAAATATCTTCGAGATATGAGACTTTCAAGATCTAAACCTTTTCAAGGTTTCTATGACAACATTATATAATATCTATTAGCAAAAAAATCGTTAAAAGAGGAGGGAAACAATTGAAGACATTCTCTCGTCAGTTCTAATTTTCAATTAAGAAATAAAGAGATCTCAAAGATGTTTATCAGTCTACTTATTAAAAGAAATTTCGTTAAAAATAGACAACAGATTAATCGTTATATTTTGCATCTTAACAATGAATATTAGATGACAAATCGAAAGTGTACTAATGTAAGATTCAAATAATGCTATATGCATTTCGAACCACGGACTAATTGATGATGTTCAAATGTTTGTAAATAGATTAGAAAATCAACTAATTAAAATCTAGCTTGAATTTAACGATATCCAGACAATACTCAAATTTTTACAGAATTCACTATACCGATAATCAGAGCCAATAGATATAAATTTGCATGAGGTCCGCTATTATTTAAAAATAAATTTCTTTTTAATTACCACTGATAATTACTAAGAAAAAAAAACCTATACTAGTAAAAATGAACACTCTGTTATGACATATTCGGAACGTATGTTTTGAAAATGCATTGAATAATCGATAGTTTTTCAAGTAAAATTTTTCTGACAAAATTCTTGAGGTAATAATCCTCTTCAAAGTTTCTTTTTCTAGATTTCATTATTTTGTTTTATTAATCATTTATTCTGAATAGTAAGAATTAATTTGGACAAGTTTCAAATTGATCTACTCAAATAAACTGTTCTTAGGCAAACAGTGAAATAGATTTTGTTTGAAAAAAAAAAATGAAAAAGAAACTATTTCAATCAATAGAATATTTACAACTGCTCAATTCGATAACCATTCATATGGTTATATAATCTTTTGATTCATATATATATATATCAAAATAAATACTTTTGATAAAAGTATCTGAACATTAATCTATAATTTAAATATTTCTACTCATAACTTAATTAAAGTTTTTTGCAGAATATTTTACATACAAGAAAACTTCCATGTTCATTAACATCTGACATAAGTTGTTTTTCAGCATCAATTCGACGTATTGATTTAAAATACCATCTAATAATATAGAAATACTTTGTAAAAAAAACAAAATTTTCAAATAACAATATTCAATACTTACGGTTCTGATTCTAAACTATCTCGTTTTGCAACATAATTTGAAGGTATCCAACCTTCTTCTCCATTTTCATTTTTAGCTTTCCACCATGCCGCATTTTTTCTATAAGTTATTTCCAATAAATCACTTTTTCGTATGGTTAAATCATCATTTGTTCTTGCATCATAATCAAATAATGCTACATATTGAAAACGACTATAATTATTATTATCACTAATTGATTTTAACACAGTTGCTGAAGCTGTTGATGATGATGCACTTGAAACACCTGATGATGATGGTGTTCCAATAGCCGTATTATTTTGATGATTTATTGTACATTGTATTGACGATGGTGAGACAATTGGTTGTGGTCGTGGAATGAGATTCAATGATATATCGGGTACTTGGTTTTGCTGCAATTTGGACGATCTTGGACGACCAAAATTTATGCAGTTTCCCATACCTTGCTAAATTACATATGAATTGAATATTTATTTTTTTAAGTAAAAAAGTGAAAAACAAAAATAAGGTAGATTGTGCTTTTCAGAAAAAAAAGTATTTATTCATTGATCTTACATTCTGTTGTTCAGTTTTATAACGTACATTTCGCTGTGCTTGTTCAACTAATAATCGTGCATCAATATGTCGAAAAAAATCATTCCTTCGTGATTTTAATCCATTTTGCAGCCATTGCTGCACATACGGTTTATAAGGTTCAGCCATTTGATTTTTTTTTTTAATGTTTATTCAGTTCTCGTTTTTCTATTTCTCTTTGTCACGATGCAAACAAACATACAATGTCTATTATTTGAGTGTACATGCAAATCAAATTTATACGTGTTCAGTTTGCAAACTCGCACATTCTTTTGTGTATGTGTGTAAGACCGAAAAGTCAAAAAGAAAAAAAAAGGGAATGATTTTTCTTTTCTCTTCATTTCTGTTTTTTTTTTTGTGTGTATAGATCGTGTTTTTTTTCGATTCATCAATTACTTAACAGTGTAGAAAAATTTTATTTACCTGTTTATTTTCTTTTACGAAGCATCAAATGATCTAAAAACAATTAATGAATATCTTTCATCAATTTGAGAATATTTTCATATTTTGATGAAAGATCTTCTTCATTATTGAAGATCTAAAACAATATATTTCTTTCAATTTAGTTCGTTTATTATATATGTGAGAAAAGAAAGAAATATGATAATAATATTGTTTTACATTTTTATAGAGCTTTTATACTTAGTATTGAATATGTAAAATTTCTTCGAACTGATTTTTTTTTCTGTCTATATAATGATAAAAGCAAAGAAATGAAACTTCAGACATTTAAACAACAGTTGTTATTGTATGTGATAGAAAAAAAAGAAGAAAAAAGAGCGAACGGATGTGATGTTTGAGAAAGAAAAGAAATTTTGAAAATCGCTATCATTGTTATGGACAAATGATATGACACAGTGATTTGTGGTTCTAGTCAGGTAAATATATATTTAAAAGAAAAATGAGCTCTGTTAAAGACGAATAAAAATGGGAATGATAATATATTTTGTCTGAGCAGCAAAACATTGACCTTCGTGTTTAATATATTGTCAATGCCGTTTACTAGATAGCAAATGTTAAACAACATCGAATGGTAAGAGACAATAGACAAGTATTAATAAAAACAGGTAGGAAAAACAAAAAAATTATTGACCTCGAATATTATCTGGATGAAAATTTGTTTTTTATTGAGAAAAGAAAGTGTCATTAGTAATCTTAGTAACAAATATACGATTCTAGCTAGTTAAGAACAACAAAAAGTCGTATAGCACTGTAGAACGATCGACCAGAATACTTGAGAAAATAGACTCAATGAGTTTCATCAAAGACGATGATAATGATGATGATGACACACACATACTGAGCATTGCAATTGCAATTATTGTTTTGCTTTTTTTTCTATTGGTTGTAATTTACAGTAATATTTTTCGAGATTGAATGTAGATGTCGCTAATCAACGGAAAGAAACATTAACATATGGCTTACCATTCAAAAAACTTGAATCGAGAATAATAATATTCAGTAGTATTTGGCAGAAAGATAAAAGTGTCATATTGATTTATGGACGCGTCTTATTCAAAGAGTTATAAATCACAAATTGGTACTGATATTGAAATTTATGTGTCAAAATTATTATAAATTTTAATTCTTAAAAATTTATACAAATTGAAAACAATTCTATAAATGTCAACTGGTACAAATGTACTTATCTGTTCACTTGAATTCTTGAAAAAAAAAATCAAGAAATTACTGTTTTGAGCGTGGGTGAGGACAAGTCTATCAAATACATCTAATGAATTAACATGACCAAATATTTATTTAAGAAGTATTAATTTAGCACAAGCTATTATTGAACATGATCATTAAAATAATTATTTGTTGCTCTTCTTTTTTGATTTTATATCAGCATGTATGAGAACAGAAAATCCTCTTCGCAGTTTTTTCAATTAAAATTATTAATAAAAAACAATCGAATCAACTTAAATGTATTTCAATAGAATTGCGTCAGAGTAATAACTACGTAGTGATGATTACCAGCCGATCTAAATTTTCTTTTTAAAGGGAAAAAGAAACAACTTGATTATGAAATCGTTTCTTCTTAAATCAAACAATTTCAATCAACGACTAACGCGATTTCAACGAGAAAATATTTTGTGAATGTCCATGTGAATGAAGACAAAACTCATACTCACACTCATTTCGAACGTCATATGTATGTTTTTCTGATTCAAGAGTTAAGATTGATACAAATATTAAGTATCCAGTTCAGTATGTCTTTTAAAACAAGTAACGTTCGCCGACATAACTTGCTTGACCCTGGTCTGAATATTCAGCTATTTTTGGACATAGTAAACAACTTCACAATCGTCTACAGCACTACAGGGTGTCTGAAAATTAGCTTCCTATTTTAAATTCCTAATTACTGTCAAACAACAAAACGATATCGTAACAAATTTTTTACTGTTTTGAAGTGTATGTAATACTATAACATAAAAATGTCTCAAATTTTTACACAGGAATCTCCGTTGTTTATACACTTCTGTAGTTATTATAGAATCTGTTCTCATTTAACAATAATAAACTTCTCAAAATAATGGGTTATTTTCGCAAATTCTCTAGACGAAATTCGTGCTTAGTCTTAGATTGTCGAACGAGCAATCGGCTTGTTTCACCTACAACAAAATGTCATGACACGTGCTTCAAAGCAGTGAAAAATTCGTTACGATATCTTTTGTTGTTTGACAGTAACAAAGAATTTAAAATAGGGAGCTACTTTTCAGATATCCTGTAGTATCCAATGTTTAAAAAGGGTTGGGTCCACGTGGGAATGTTCATATTCGCGTCAGAATATTTGCGCAAGATAATATGAATATTCTTCTGTTTCTTTATCTCGTGAATTTATATAATCGCATCGATACCCACACACTAATACGCAACTGAAATACTAAAAATAGTCATACGAACGCAATGATATTCACAAACACAATCTTTGACAATGTTGATAAAGCAACTCGACTTTCTCACTATCACTCTTAATTATTTTCCAACTTTGCAAATGTATCGAACAAACAGATCATATTCGATTGAATGAGTGGAACGCCAAGAAAGCAAACCGCGAAACTAGCACCATAACTCACCGTGAGCGTTTCGAATTAGCCTAAAAAATCCTTATGGTTTCTAGAATGTCAACCTTCTTCCCATGTTCTAGAACCTCCACTAGCAAAAAAAAGGACTTTTGATGAAATTCTACTTTGAAATAAAGTATTCTCAATAATACCTATAATTGGAATACCTTAGTTGAATGACTTTGCTGCTCAAAGTACTCTCGGGATTAGACTTAATTTGAATATATTCCAAAGTATATCGACGTACTAGTGCACAGAGACAAGAACGAATATCAACTGAAAATCGCACTTGATATGATTAAAATCTGCTTCCAATTAAGCGAACCTGAATTCTTTTAGTGACGTTTTCTGTCAATTGCAGCATTCAGATATAGTACACGTGCAGAAAAAAACGCTTTCACACTTGAAAAAAATTTGTCTTTTTTTTGTTTTTTACTCAAGGTCATTTATGAAACCATCTGAATTTAGACCTTAGGGACTTTTCATATGAATCCTAACGCCTTGAAGCGTTCATTCAGTGAGTTTTATAGAACAGCAGCTAGTCGTTCGTCGACGTTCCGACGGGGCACCACTTGCGGCTAGTCTCGTGTTAAACCGCTTTGACAGCAGCTAGTTGTTCATCAACACCCCTTCGTGACGCCACGTACAACTAGCAGCCTCCTTGTTTGAATGCGCTTAAGTAATAGTTAATGGCACCTATTTAAGTGCTAAGTAGAAAAATATAAATGCCAAGTAGATTATTGCAAAGTAAAATATATAGATACTCAGTAGAAAAATTAGATGCTCAGTGAATTTATTAAATGCTTAGTGGAAATAATATTTCTCGGTGACTAAAATTTTTGCTAAGTTAAATAATTAATATCTAA